GGAATATGCAACATATCTGGGTGATTACATGGACCATTCGTTCCTTATATGGGGCATCCAAACACATTAAACATCTAAAATAACCGAAAACATGCTACATTATATGTTCCATTGATGCAGAGGAAATAGGAAAAAGTCGGACATAACATTGTTAACCATACGACTTCGGAAACACACACATCAGTTGCAAAGTATACACACACGCATGTGCCAGACAAAAGTACTGAAACACACAACACCCTAGCACTCTTAACCGAGACTCGTCATAGGCAGGCAAATGCTGGGTGTGTACTACTTTTTACCTCGAAGCTTCACTCCAAGCACCCTTTCTAGTTTGGTAATTATCTGTTGATTTGGAAGAGCCTTTCCTGACTCATATTCTTGGATCACTTGGGGCTTCTCATTAATTAGCTGAGGCATTATGGATGTCTTAGATGTAATTTACAATAATTAACTTGACCAACAATCCAACTGAAAGACAAGTTACCTGTCCAAGTTGAGCCTGGGTTAACTTCTTACCCAGTCGAGCTTGCATAATGTTCTTCTTCAGTTCGCTTGACACTCGCTCATCTTGTGAAATAGATGAAAGAATAAATATGAGGGTTATGTCATAACAAGAGAAGGTAGAATACTTAACCAGCAAAATAATTGTGCAATATCAAGAACTGAATAAATTACTATCGAAGAAGTCAATGCAGATAGATCCATTGCAGCTTGGATCATATATAAAGATGACATGAATAAAACCCCGGCTGCTAAAGCCCCCCAAGCCAAACTCTGCCAAACCTAATTGATAAGACCAACTACAATGTGGCAACTAGTAAAAACATAAATGAGACTTAATGATTGCTTCTCTTCCATTTTTGAAGGAAGAAAAACAAATCTTGTCAAGCTTAAATATATTTGAATTCAGTAATATAATTGGACCAGATTAGATCAATACGACCATTTAAAAATATTTAAAAATATTTGAATCTGCAGCATTTACATCAGAATAAGCATTCAATATGATAGATTTAATGCTTACTTCAGGTTAATTTTCTCAGTTGATAGATCATCTTCAAGACCACATTAATTATTAATGCTCCCACTCCCCTACCCCCTCCTCCAAAAACAATAAATAATAAATATAAATATAAACAAAAGTGATATCTGCAAATATGAGGAACTAATGCTAATACTGGCAGAAAATGGCTAGGACTGAGATGCAAAGTGATTAAATGTGTCTTTTTTCTTCATGTTCCCTTGCTGATAGAAGTAAACTTTTGCAACGATTTGAAAGTTAAGAAATTTAATTTTAGAAGAGAATTTCTTTGGCAAGATACTTTTGAGTTGTGTTACACCCATAGGAATATTCTAACTTCATTATCCAAAATCCAGGACTAGACCCTTTGCGAAATGGATATTTTCACACAAATAAAAAAGGCAAATCACCTTTCCCTAAAAGACTAAAAAATATCATTAAGTGTTCCACCGACATAGAAGTATATGACTTTTCTTCCAGAAGAAAATATACAGCATGACCAAAAAAAAATTATATATGCTGGCAACATAAAATTTCTCTTAGGCATATTTAAAGAAGCAAACAACTGCAACTGTTCAGGTGCTTCTAGGATGAGCCGATATATAGGAATATATATATACATCATTCATTGAGCACTCAAACATCATATGAGAAACGAGGAAACAAAAAAAATCGATAATTAAAAAGAAATAAAATACATGGCATCTTCTTGATAGGTTCTTTATGTATTGGCCCTGATCCATGACATGAACAAAATTTTGCAAATATACAATCAAATTCAAATGTCTATAGACAAAGATCCTAACATTTGCAATCAAACATAATCGTAAATAGAATAACATGAACATATTAAAAGATATTACAAGCCAAAAATCAACTTAGCAAGTAAAAGAATCGCCTATTTCGAAGAAAGATAATCCATGACATGAACAGGACTTGGGGTATTTACAAGCAAAACACAATTGCATATAGAAAATATCCTAATCTGTATAGTTAGGATCAAATCAAAACCTAAATACTAAATAGAAATATACTACTCACGAGTAAGATTCTCAGTCTCCTCGTCGAGCTTCCTCGTATTCAGAGAAGTGCTGCTAGAAGCGGCCTTGTTCGTACCAGCGGTAGCTGCAAAACACAAAAAAACAAAAAGGATCAAAGAACCCAATAAAAAAAGCATAGATCAGATCTCTAAAAGAAAACAAGAACCCTAGGATGAATCAACGGATTACACTTCTTGACGGTTTCGATCTCGGCTCCACTGCGTCGGGCGGCGTTGACGGCCTTCTCGTCCTTCTTGGCAGCGGCGGTGGGCGCCTTCTTGCGGATCACAATGGGCTCCCAGTCTTGCGTGATGGGACCGTTCCCTGCCATCGAGATCGACGATTTCTGCTTCGGATTAGGGTTTCCGAGGCCAAAAACAGAACCGGGAGGAAATGATCTTTCTGCGAGGAAACGGACGAATCAACGGAGGAATATATATATACATAAATAAAAATCACCACGTCAGGAATTTGATTGGATCAGTTATTGTGGGCCAAACTTGGGTAAGTTGATTGGGCAAAGTCTTTCGGCCCAAAGTGGGTTAACTTATTACGTTCGGTACAATTAGTTTAATTAGATTGGGTTCATGGTGAGCCAAATTGGGTTATCCGAGCAATGGTTCGAAAGAAAGATTTCGGGTTTAGTAATCGTGACGGTAGGTTCTGGAACCAACGGCTTTGATTTTATCAAATTTAAAATCTGAATCGGTTCTAGATTAATGGATTTCGATTCCTAAATTAATTCTAGTTTCAAATTGGAACCTAATTTTTTTTAATTTCATAAACAATTTATAGCAATCTAATGATTGGATTTTATTTATAAAAAATACTTTTAAATCAAACAAAAGTGCTATATATTTTGCTTGTTCCTTTGATTGCTAGATTAAATAAATATTTATTGCCCTCTCAAATAATCTATTATCTCTTTTGTTGTCCAATCATCAATATATTTATTGTCCAATTATCTTTTTTTTTTTCTGTTCCCATTGCTTTCCACTTCGTTTAGATCTCCCTCACCTCTGTCTTCAACCTCTTTTGTCTCTGTCTCCACCTTCGTCCGGTGCTATGGCTTTCGCCACTTCCTTTTCCTCGATAAACTAGCAGGTTTGAAAGGGTTACATGGATATCTCAATCACTCATTTCACCTATTCTCTACTTTCGTAATGTTGTGCTTCACATGGGAGGTAACATACAATGTATGATGGTACTCGTCGGAATCAGAACGAGTGTTGTTCGTGATTGGTGATAGACAGCGACATGGTGGCATGCACCAAGCGCCAATTCCATAGTCGAACAAACCTGAGAAGAAGAAGAAGAAGAAGAAGAAGAAGAAGAAGAAGAAGAAGAGTCGAGTCAGTTTCACTGATCTCTAACATGCGGTCCTGAATCCATTTACCCTTCTGCTCGGATTAGAGATCGTAATCTATAAGAAATTGTAATTATACATACCAAGCGGCCTTTGAAGCTGAAGGAAGAAAGCCTCTCGACGCTGAAAAAGCCGAGCACCTCCTGGTAGAACTTCACCGACTGGCTTACCGATCGTTACATGGACGCATCGACGATGTTGCCTCCTCTTGAACCATCTCGAATCCCATGGATCGATCCTCTCCTTTCACAATGTAATCTCGAGACTCAAGACTTGGTGAATTCACAAGTTAAGCTGAACTCCCACTCGTCAGTGCTATTCCTTCACCCGCACGGCTCCTACTTTTTGGCTACACTTTCGAGCTTCCCAAGACAGACCACGTTTAGCTCGTGGTTGACTGAGAAGTATGTGGTTTCCATGTTGCTGCTGACTACATTTCCGGGTCTCTAAACGCGTATAGCCTTTCGTATTCCGAAACCAAAAAAGAAAAACATTATGCTTCTTCCTTTGTTGTTTTAATAGATTACTCAAGGCAGAAGACCTTCCTGGCTTGTCGTCGTGAACATGAACAAGTAAAAAACGTCCCATGCGCATGTCACTGAGAATATAAAATACATGGAATTTATTTATGATGGATCACGGTCCGCTACTACAAATAATTTTCTTAAGTGGCCGAATGTTCATCGGAAAAAGACATGGGAAGCAGCTAATCAACAAGATTTGCATGCCTTCGTGGACCAGGATATTAGTTCTCTCTCTGCTTCATGTGTTCTCTCACAAATCTTTGTTCACTAAGTAGTGAGAAAATTAGGAGTGAAATTTTGGTTTCAGAAAAAAGGTAGAATTTTTATGATGAAAGGCCAATGAACGAGCACCTTTATGGAAGCAAACACAAAAATAATTGAGGCATAGAACACGTGGTTTTGATGTTTTGTATAATTTGAAAAAATATTTCTTTTTGTAAATATCAAAATTATGAAGTATCTATCTTTTTTAGAGCACATAAAAAGAAAAAAAGAAGAAGAAGCAATAATGAGTTTGATGGAAAAATAAAATAAAATCAAAATAGTGGTCTCCCAATAATAAAATCAAAATTCCGATCAACGTCGACGCCAGGGTTATGAAATCCTCACTCATCGATACTCCGTCCATCCAACACAAGTGAGTGAGCATATAGTAGTAGTAATCAGAACACAGAGATATCCATTCACATGAGCAGTAGCAGCATCCACCAACCTTCCAACTCGACAACTGGAAGGAGAGGAGATTAATGTGGTGGACCACGTACGTTTCATTATCAAATCGTTCCATGTACTTGGTCTTCTCGACATGCCCATCCAGAAAACGCTGGGAAGCTGCTACCGGACGTGAAAGGTGGTGTCAATCCATTTCACAGCGTCTAACACACACACACACACACACATATATGAATAAATAATGCGGATAGGGAGATATTAGGAAGTAATGTCACACCTGCTTGTCCGTAGTCAGCCACGAGCTAAACGTGGTCTTCGCATGCAAGCGCCAAAAGGAGCGAAATCATAGATATATACAGGTACCGCGTTTGAAAGAACGCACGAGAGAACAGCGCAGGAGGAGAGAGTTCAGTTTCACCTCTATATAAGAAATCCAAATCTCCACATCGCCTTGTCACTTGTGAACTCTTGAGTCTCGAGATAGATATACGTGGTGAGAGAAGGAGATCGATAGATGGGTGTGGAGGTGGTCCAAGAGGAGGCAATGTCGTCGATGCCGCCATTGATGTCGCTGAACCATGTGTCATTCATGTGCCGATCGGTAAGCCAGTCGGTGAAGTTCTACCAGGAGGTGCTCGGCTTTGTCAGCATCAAGAGGCCTTCTTCCTTCAGCTTCAAAGGCGCTTGGTATGCATAATTTGAACTACTTGTTATAGATTACCCATCTCTAGACGAGTAAATGGATGCAGGAGCCGCATGCTGAGATCAGTGAAACTAACTGGACGCTTCTTCTTCTCAGGTTGTTCAACTACGGAATTGGCATTCATTTGCTGCAGTGCAACACCTCGGAGGAGAACCTCCCCAAGAGAAAGGGAGTGATCAACCCCAAGGACAACCACATCTCCTTCCAGTGCTCCAACATGAAGCTCTTGATGCTGAAGCTGAAGAAGATGGGCGTGGAGTACGTGACCGCCAAGGTGGAGGAGGAAGGCATTCAGGTTGACCAGCTCTTCTTCCACGACCCAGATGGAAACATGATCGAGATCTGCAACTGCGACAACCTCCCCGTACTCCCCCTCTCGCCATGCCGTCTCAGACGATAAACAACCTTCCCTCCTCCTCCTCCTCCTCCACAACACAACCAGTCCATCTTCTTCGTCTTCTTCTTCTCTTTTCACTATCATTCATGTTACTTCACTCGCTGTGGATGGATGACTCGGCGTTTTTAATTACTAGTGTATTTTGTACCTGCAAAGTCTGCAATAAAGCATTACATGTCTTTACTACAGCGTATCCACTTCCAAACACAACTAAACGAAAAATAGAACTAAACGAAAGTGCTTTCCAGGCAAAGATGCTTGAGAAACAAAAGTGAAACATGGATCTCGTGCAGACATGAGTCTCTTCGAAAATACTTGCTACCAATTAGGTATGGTATGATTCTGTTTGAAAATAGCAGTAGCTTAGCTTGGCAAGTCTAAAGCAGACGGACGAGCGCTCCATTAATCCTTTCCTTTGGTGCATCTTTTTCTACTTCTTGTTGCAAATTATTTACTTCTATTCGATACTTTTTATTCTTCTTATAATTTGCTTCGAACCTTTTAGATTGGTGTCGAGGCAGCTTTAAATCAGAAGAAGCATTCATTATATTCTGACACAGCAAACTGTTCCCAAGTGAAAAGAAATATTTCTTTTCAAGACGCTCTTTCCATTAGCAAATATTTATATGCGAAAAGAAATTAAAATTAATTTTATATTAATAAATATGAAGGAAATATAATCAATTATATCCCAGCTTAGTCTATAATCTAATAACTTTAAGTTTTCCGATTGAATCAAAAATTTAAACTAAATAAAAAATGGTTTAATTAAAATTATTTAATATATATTAATTATGATTAATTTAGCTCATTATATCCTAGCTTATCCATAATATAATAACTTAAGTTTATCGATTGAATCAAAATTTGAAACTAAATAAAAAATAATTTAATTAAAAATACTCAATATATGTTAATTCTAATTAATTTAGCTCATTCATCATTAATAAATTTTTAACATGGTATCAGAATCAAGGTTTTTAAATATAAGGAGTGAGTAAAAAAAAAAAGATCTGAATGATGATAGTGTCATAAGTACCGTCGACTAATAAGTCGATACGATTTATCCACTGCTAAACGTGCAAGCTTGCTTCTTTCTATCAGACATGGGAGACTTGGTAAGATGAAACCGCATAGGTAGCCCGGTCGGAAGTTGTCATGTCGGTGAGAACCCGGTTCAGGGTGACTGAGTAGGTGGTCTGGGATCTTCCTTGTTGCAAGGTTCGCTCTCCAAGATGAGTCGTTCGAGCATCCTCGAGAGATGGTCCGTCTCATGGTTACGTAGTCATGTCCTAATAACGGGGTCAGCTCTTGACCACTAGTGATCCTGCATGATAGGCTAGTATCAGTGGTTGCTCGATGGGGCCCCTCCGATGCTTAAGTCAACGAAGGGAAGAAGACAATAGTATAAAATATAAAATTGAGTTAGTGTGTAGAGAGTTATCGCCCTCCCTTCCAACATGAGCTAATGGGTTTCTTTATATGCTTGATCCCTAGACCTTCTTACTGACTGATTCGAGATAAGATTCGGTGAACTGCCTGATCATTCTATGATTTTAGCAAGATAGGGCAGTTACACTAGTCATTGATGCGATGCATATCGGGATGCACTTCGGTGTCCTTTTGGGACTCGTGACTTCGAGCCCTGCTTAGGTGTTGACCTCGATGGTAGATGAGTTAGCATGGGGCAAAATCATCCCTATCATTTGCCCCCCTTCGGAAGGGCATCCTTTGGAGCCTTTCTCCGGAGGGCACACTTCTGTTGGGCACGTGTTCTAATGGAAGTATGCTAGCTATGGTATTGCATTGGTCCGATTGAGGTATGGTGCTAGGGTCTTTATGTCGAGTGCACAGCATGTAAGCTTGGCCTAGGTGCATTCCTTGGGTCTTCACACCGAGGTGTATAGCTCGGGAGCGAGTCCTTGTTAACTCTTACTCATCTGAGATGTCACTCTCGGGTCTTCAAACCGAGTACATGGCTAGGGAGCATAGGGACTCATCCTAAGTGTTGGCCTTAGGTCTTCAGGTCGAGGTGCACATCTTGGGAGTGCAGGGACTCATCCTAGGTGCACCCCTCGGGGCTCCACACCGAGATACATAGCTCAGGAGTGAGTTCTTTTTAACTCTTACTCGTTTGAGGTATTACTCTTGGGTCTTCAAACCAAGTTCATAGCTAGGAAGCACAAAGACCCATCCTAGGTGCTAGCCTTGAGTCTTTAGGTCAAGGTGCACGTCTAGGGAGCACAGGGACTCGTCTTAGGTGTAGCCCTCAGGGCTTCACACCGAGGTGCATGGCTCGGGAGCGAGTCCTTTTTAACTCTTACTCATCCAATGTGTCACTTTCAGGTCTTCAAACCGAGTGTATGACTAGGAGCGCAAGGACTCATCCTAGATACGGGCCTCAGGTCTTTAGGCCGAGGTGCATGTCTAGGGAGTGTAGGGACTCATCATAGGTGTTGGCCTCGGGTCTTCATACCAAGGCTCACTACTCGGGAGTTGGACTCGCCAAGGGTTTTGACTGCGTAGGAGCGATTGATTAGACCTGCCATGATACCTGATCAGTGGTGGCGAATGATGTTGTGGTGGGTGGCACCCGTCGCTATTAAGGTGCTTTACCCAGGATGTGATGCGTCGTCTTGCCCTTAGGACCAATATTACTTATGGTGCTTATATATGAGGGAAGCCTCTTGTTTCCTAGAAGTTGAGTGTGTTTAGGGGCCGTGTTCTTTTTTAGGTTCCGTTGTCACATAGTGATTGGAGGCACAACTTTCATGATGGGTCTGAATTTGGCCGCCATGGGTTGGGGAACGGATTCACCTTGACTTCTGCAGTGGCATTTTGCCAATAGTGGATGCCGAGGTATGGCGCTATCGAGGTTCGAGCCGTTGAGCTGCTCTTGGACCTGCGAACAAAGAAAATAGAAACTTGAAGAAAATTACCAAAGCGAAGACGCCGGGCTTGTCCGGGGTCGAAGTCAGCTGCGTAATTCTATCTTTCTTTGGGGGCTCTAAGCAGTAGACCTGAGTTTTTTTAAACAATTTAAATTTTTAGAAAAGAAATGACAATCTTGTCAATCCTTTGAGTTGAAATGATGAGAATGTGGCGTCAATTTAAAAGAAAGAAGGAAGATCAAGCACAAGAGTGGCAGCAATATGTGTCCAATATTGAAAGAGTAAACAGTACGTTAGGTTTTGGAGATCATTGAGCAGCTAACGAAAGAAGAGCAAGACCCCCTCGTTGATCTCAAACCTGGGTGGCCTTTGGGGGTTTCCATCTCCTGTCGAAGCATTCGTTCCACCAAATAGATGCTGACAGTGAAATATTATCTGTAAAAAGTGTTGAACAATTAGTCTGATTACTGCCCACTATTACGATCGCTGATCAAACCATTGTCGTAAAACTTTAATCTTTCAAAATGATCCTAAATTTTGTCCCCGTAATTCTTTTTTTCTTTCACTTTATTCATTCATAATTTAGATACGATAAACATGTCTACTCACACATCAGATGTGGAGAAGATAAAAAGGGTCGGAGCCATCTTTTATCTTACCTTTAGCATCCAACTTTTCCCAAAAGGTAACACACCCGAAACAAATAGCTTCTCTTTGTGCTCTCGTTCCGACGAAAAGAAATGACAACGTTTGAGTAGAGTGTACCAACGTCTTATGAGAAGCACAGTTATCTCATCTCGAAACAAGGAAATCATGCAAAAATTACCCAAGCAAACTGAAACGGATGACTTACATGTATGTTACCTTTGAAATAATAATTATTACAAGACTGAAATAATTCATCATTCACATAACATTAATAGAGAACTATTCGTTGTCTACAGAGAATTATTTTTTTCCGCAAAAATAATTCCAACACGTCCAAACTCCATTTGGATCCTCGAACTTAAAGAAAATTTAGGAGAAGATTTACAGTTATATGCCAAATAACATCCACCCAACTACAACCAACTTACTTTTGAGTGGATTGGATGGCAATGATAATCTGGGGCAGGAGTAGAGCAAGTAGTGATTTCAAATGATGCATCAAGGCTTGTGGATGTGCAATCTACCACTTCAACAGATATGTGTCCTCTGGAATCATATACCTGACAAGACAATCATTCATGTACCAAGCTCACAATAAGAAACACCGAGGGAACAAATATGATTGTGAATAGATTGAAACTAAGCAATCTGCATACCAGCTCTACGATTATGACATAGAGATGCCTCTGTATCCCTCCCTCTCTAGCTGTTCTGCTAGTGAAACATCACCTGTCCTTACAATCATGCCATCCTCCTGAACATGAAAAACACAAAAAAGACACCTGGAATCTTTAGAAACAAATGATGCACAAAGTTCCAGATACAATCTTGAAGTGGCCAAGACCAGAAGAGAATCGAGTCCTGTGAATTAGGTAGTTCACAAGTATACTATGTCATTTTGTTGGTTCTGCCTACCACTACTGATGCCAAGACAGTTCAGTGGTAAGATGAAAACTCAAAAAGTCTCAAACAACAAAAAAGCCAAAGAAACAAAGCATGTCCAATAGTAAATGTCTCATATTTGTAGTTTACGTCCGTTTGATGACCTTCATTTAGTTAAATTTCATATTTAATTGGCAAACAAACACATTTACCAAAAAATTTTAAAGAAGGAAAGTGAAATTATCACTAACATAGGTTAAGACAAGTAGCAAGCCTCACACATATCATGTGCACTATAACATCACAAATAGAGTATATAATCCATAATAACCTATAAGATCACAAACCTCAGAGATATCACGTAGAAAGCCTCAGACAAGCAGAATTTAGACGACAAACACCCAGCAATTTAAAAAGGCGCTTGGGCGAGGCGAGGCGAGGCCCGAGCGCCTCGCTAAACTTCCAGGCGGTGCGCTTCAAAGAGGCGCCGCCTTGGCGCTCGCCCGAGCCCAAGCACTGGGTGCTTCGGGCGAGCGCCTGGGTTAAACCAGGCGACCGAACCAGGATTTTAGGTCTGGTTCGGTCTCCGGTGGTTAGTTGGTTCAATCGAACTAACTAAAACCGATATCAGCGACAACCCAACCCTAACCCTCATTGCCGCTCCTGATCCCGCTGCTCGCCGCTGTCACTGCTCGCAACCGCTGCAGCTGTCGCCTCTCCCGCTCCTGCTCCCGCTGCCGCTACCTCCTTACACTCCCGCTCCCGCTGTCTCCTTACATTCCCGCTGCCGCTGCCTCCTTACACTCTCGCTCCTGCTGCCGCTGCCTCTTTACAGTCCCGCTGTCGCTGCCTCCTTACACTCCCGCTCCCGCTGCCACTACCGCTGTCGCTTCCTCTTTTCTCAATCAGCACCCCTTACACTCTTCCTTCTTCTCCTTATGTATATTGTTAACAATATACAGTACACTGTTAACAGTATACAACAGTATATATTTAATATACTGTATCTTAGATTTTCTTAATTTAATAGCATATTTTTATTTAAATTTTTAAATAATTATATTTATTAATTATATTATATATTTTTATATTTTAGCGTCTCGCTTCGCTTGGGCGAGCGCCTAGCGCCTCGGGCGTTTTTGGACCTTAGCGCCTTTTGGCACCTAGCGCTTTTTAAATCACTGCAAACACCATAATAATCTAATTCTTGTAATGATGCGGATAACTAACAAGAATACTGATATAAATAATACCAAAAAATTAAATAGGATCACTGAAAGAAAAGATATAGACTACATATAAGCAGCTCTTTGACTGTTATCCTTATGAGATATGAGGCTCCTACCATTATATGAACATAGCTCGGTTTGATACACTCCAGAAGGCGTTGATAATGTGTGATAATCAAGACAGAATTATTCGGTGTTAACAGCCCATTAACTGCTTTTGCTACATCTTGAAGTGCATCGACATCTAACCCTGAATCAATTTCATCTAGAATAGCCAAATCTGCCTCAAGAACCTGAAAAAACAAAAAGATCAGACGATAGTGATGATAATGAGAATATTTCTGAAGACGAAAAGCTAAAATGAATATCGACATAAGCAAGAAATGTCACATTTATTTGCCAATGCAAAAATCATTTCAGAATGGACTACATTCTAGTTTCCCATTGTCTTTTCCAAATATGGTTTAAGTGATCAAAACATAACATCATGAGGAAAAGGAAGAGGAAAAAATGAGGACAATAAGAAGAGAAAGAAACAGAGAGAGAAAAGAAAAAGAAAAAGAAAGAAAAGGAGAAAGAGAAACAAAAAATAATATCTTGGCCATGTCAGTCTTTCAATTAGTCACCTAGGCCCTGTTCGAATCATTCAAGTCTTTAATGATTTATTGATAGGAGACGGATGCAAAGGGTAAGTGGGCTATATCAAAATAGCTCACATACTTTTAGGGAATATTTGCAAAAGCCCCAAAGTTCCAATGGTGCTTCTCTAATTTTGGTGTGTTTTGCACCTAGAATTCCTCACAGTGGCATCCTTGACATGAGCATTATAATATGTGACCAATGAAATGCTTATTTTGGACGTCATATGTGATGCTACAATCTTCATATTTAATTATTTGTGGTGATACAAATTCATGTTTTATAGGTGTTTTCATAAATATGTATCTTAAATTCCCAAAGGAATTAAAAGGTAAAGAGGTTCAATTCATGGTAAAACTGAAAATTAATGACTAATTCTGAACTATACTATACAAGTAAAAAGGACAAGGCCATGTTTTAGTTTATTCCAGTTTTAGTAATTCTGAACTATACTGTACTAATTTTGAACTATACTGATCATTGCAATTCCAGTTTAAGTTGATTACAAATCTGAATTTAATTTTGAACTCAAACCAGATATCTGTTTCTCCATCTATTTGGAGCAAGAGAAGTTGGCTTAGTTAAGGGATAAGAAGGCCATGTTTTCCACACAAGCTTCATGCACAGTATCAGGAGAACTTTGGAAATAATCTAAACGTCCAAGTAAATTGTCAATGACCATCAAATGAAAAAAAAAACAAACCATGATTTTATGGCTCATGACAAAGCTTGTTCAGAAATTTATGGAGACATTGATGCCTTGGGACAATCTTTGCAAGAGAAGCAATTCAGCATTAGAATACTTGCAATTTAGACGAAGGTTCACCTTACCGGTCCAAGCCAACATGCCGATTGGCGACACAGCATGTATTGGTCTGTACCAATTGACCAGCACATGGTAAACTGGTAAATACCAGTGTTTTGAAGAGGAAGAAAAAAAAGAGAAGAAGGGATTGCGGAGGAAGGAGAAAGAAAGCGGGAGGAAGAGGAAGAGAAGAGACCTTACATGAGACGTGATAGTGCAGTGAGGTCGTAGCAAGCAGAGGTCACCATCGATCGTAGCATCGAAGGCGATGCTCGCAAGCCCTACGAAGATGAAGGCGATGCTAGTGAGCATTGTGGGGGCGGCACTTTTATATGGTGAACCGGAGCGGGGTAGGTCCGCATACCGATCAATGCTCAGACAGGTACGTGCCGCCCATTTCATACTGGTCCGGGCGAAACAATGAATGTTAAACTACATAGTTCTACGTTGTTTTAAATGTATGCATACTAGTAAAGATAACAATCAGAAAAAAATTGTTAAGCAAAATCTTTAGCCAAGTAAAATCTTGAAAAAATGGTTCCATGAATAAGCCTCTTTGTTATCACATGTATCTGATTTGTCAAAACACAAGCTTTTGGTGCAAAAGAAAAAGAAGTTTGAAGACATAAGAAATTCAATTTTCTTGATAAGCTTTAAAGAATTCAGCAGCTTCATTATGATAAGAAGATTATGAAGATCAGCATGACACCAGAATAAAAAGAGACAAATCATCATTTATAATGGGACAACAATCTGCCAGTCCCTCATTATGGACTTATCAAACCAATACTGTGACTTGTTGGAAATTTTATCAAGCATATACTGTGTTTACTTAACCTTTGGTATTTAAAACCAATAGAACCTAAAAAGGGTAAAGTAGACAGGTGCTTTCATAGATTTATATGCCATACATCAGAAAAGTAGGAATACATACTGCAAGTTGCAGGATTTCATTCCGTTTCTTTTCACCACCACTGAAGCCTTCATTTACATTTCTGTCAAGAAATTTTGGATTCATATTCAAAGAAGCGACCTTAGGAGTCACCAAACTGTAGAACTGCAAGGTTAGAATATAAATGACATCCTTAGCCAATGGTGAGTTAAACAACATAGAGAATGCAGAAAACCAAATCATATAAGCAATAGTGATATCTATCTATAAAGGAGTCTTTTTTATGATATACATAGCAAATACAACAAAATTAAAGGTACACAATAAAAGTAATGCAAGATGGTGGACAACCTTCAGTGATCATGTATCCTGTCATATATGGCATTGGGGTCTTCAAATGAAGCCTGCGATCAGAAAGTCACCAACGGAGCCATACAATCATTCCAGTAATGTGTCATGGCTTGGTGTACTCTGCTTTGGCACTGGAACAAGCAACTGTCTCTTGCTTTTTGTTCTGATAATGGCAAAGTGAAAATTATTGATAGTGGAGGACGAGGTGTCCAATACCCATACATGTCCCACATGCGAGACACAGTATACCAACATACCAGTCAGTAGAGAGAAAGAGAGGACAGGATGGGGAAGGAGAGGAGGAAAAGGGGATGGAGAGGAGAAGAGGATGAGGAGGAGAAGTAACTTTTGACAATCAACAACTGTCCAGATCTAAAAAATTAAAAAAAAAAAAGAACAGTTTCAAATTATCCCAGTCCATTTGCCATGGACTAGTAAGATACTGGAAGATACTCATCGATTGGGCCAGGCTTTTTGAACCTTGTTGGAGGATCTCAATCTGAATATGGAAGTTGTGACAGTTAAATAATATTATTTCTATTGAATAACAAGAGAGACACAAAAGGACAGCTCTTGACAACCTTCCCCCCCCATTCTCCTAGAGAACAGAGTGGCTCTAACCTAGCTCCTCTTCCCCAACCATATTCCTCCAAGGGCTCTCCAGGTGAGATGGTGGCTGCTCCTAAGCTAGATAATGCTCTTGCTCCATTAAATATGAAAGGGTCATGACTCCTTCACCTCCTTTGACAACTGTGCCCTTGGAACCTTCCCCCCCCATTCCTTCGACCCTAGAGAACAGAGTGGCTCTAACCTTGCTCCTCTTCCCTACCCATAGTCATCTGAGGGCTCTCCAGGTGAGATGGTGGCTGCTCCTAAGCTAGATAATGCTCTTGCTCCTTTAAATACAAAAGGGTCAGGCCAAAGCCTGATGAAGGGTCCTATTTCCTGGGCTGGGCTATTTCAGAAGGCGCATGGCACTGGCTCTTGGAGGGTGGATCAATTTGTGGAAAACAAGCTGAGGAAAATTCATGAGTTCACACCTGGTGTTAGATCTGGATACTATGGTGATCTCGGAAGCATGACAATAATGGAAACAAAGCTTTTACGAGAAGTTAATGTCACATACTCCTTCATTGGGCTTTCCTAGTAGGTTTGCTGGTTTGTGTTCTCCCATTAACATTATAGACATAGTTTATTTGGAATCGGAAGAGAAGATGAGCAAGACTCTCATTGGGGGACCATGGCTTGTTTGGGGTGTGGCCTTATTTATATTTCCACGGAAACCTAGTTTTAACCCTTAACAGAAACCATTGTCATGTGTCGACCAAGAGATGCAATTTATATTTCCATAGCTCTTCTTACTATGGCGTTGTTCACTGAAATGGAGCTCCCAGTAGCTCCCAACCATACCTCCGTATGATTAAGTCCGTCATGGGACTTTTCTCGTGTGTGTCGCATTGCTTCGAACTGTTCCACCATGATCCGTTGCACCATGTTGTCTCTTGGTGGCATCTCCATTGCATTTTGATCTTTATGGGATGAACTCAGATTGTAATCTCTTTATATGTGGCTTCTGTCAGCATATCGTAGGGCCTCCGCTACCTTCGATTGTGTTCGCTCCTTTGGCAATCAACCTTCGTCCACTTGCTCTCGGGTTACACTCGGACGAAGTGTAGCTCTAGGATAGTCTATCGCCTAGCAGCTCTCGAAGTTCATCAACTTCATTAAAATTAATGCGCCATTGTCTGGATTCTGGGCCCTTGCCTCTAACATTATCTCCATTATGCACCGCTTCCTTCGCTATAACTCGAATGGTAGCACTGCAGCATATTCTTTAAAAGTACCCGCCTCCGCGTCCTCTTGCCCAGTGCCAAGGTATTTTGACCCAAACTTCATATTCGTAAGTTGAGTCGCCTTAATTCCTCCATTAAATGCTTCGTCGAGATAAGGTGCATGTGCCTCGAAGCTTCCTTCGACCTTGGCACCTGCAAGATGAGTCCGCTCTACTAGAATGAGGGACTCATGGAACGACATGATCTTGCTCTTGTATCTACAAGAGTTCATGTCTTTGACATATATCCAAGGGAAGCTTCATACATCCATTCTATGTTTTGTCTTCTATGTCGACTCCTTTCATATAGCTTGAGCACTTCACAAAGTTCTACCCAAGTTGCTCCACTTGTCGATTTGCATCGAGTTAATGGTGGCCCTCGTGCCCATCATTCCATGGGTCAACCCTCCGTTAAATTTGATCTCCACATTGGCTCTAAGTGTGCCTATGTTTGGTGTTACATAGGGTCGCTCCCCCATTTGATCTTGCAATGAGTCCACCAACAAATCACCTCGTACGAGATCATACGACGACTCCTCACCGCTCGTTTAGTCCGTTGAGCTTTATGGAGCTATCGTTTTGAGGTACTCCTCAACATGTGCAATCCATTGCACATGATTCTCCTTCTGGAGACAACTCCTCGTCTTGCCTCACCTTGCCCAAGTGCCTAGGCGAATGCCCGAGCACCTATTAAAAACACTGCAACATATTACCTAGATCTTGGGTTTCAGTATAAATATAGTGTTGCCACTAGATCAGATATATTGCACACTCAAAGGAATGTCATGCATCGACTCCTACCAAAAAGCGACAAGGCAGTTAATGCTATAGCGTCAATATAGTAATACACATTTTCATCGATTATGAATTCGAATGGTCTTTAATGATTTGTTTGTCTAAGAATTATATTTATTTGCAACCGAGTGATAACTACAATTTGGAGGATCCACACACAATCATTGTGCTTTCACAAACGTCATCATCAAGCATAATTGGTCAAACATTTGATTTGATTCACACTATGATCAACAACAGACTATCATATAAACAAGCTTGTATATTTGCACTACAACATGCATGATATAATGTGTCAAACTCAATAAGAAACCATAAAAGCCAGAGATTGATCCTTTTGACCTCCAGTTATACAACAAAGATTTTCAATCAATATTGGAATGGATCGAAGCAGCAAATAATAGGCAGAACAAGCAGGAGACCCCATATCCATCTCATTTCTTCACTATAGCCATAAAATAGGAACATCCCCAGCAAGAGAAAGATTGCCCTTAGCTAGGACATGAAGGTCACACATCGAGGAGTCAATCTAGGAGGGACTATGGCACCCAACAATCATAGATATCTACCCAGCGTGTGAAGGGGAAAAGGTAGGCAGCAACAATCAATCTGTTGGAAAGGAATGGCGAGCAACAGTCTATGTTCGATGACGAGAAACATTCAATTTGGTGATGAGACACCTCCTTCACAATAAGCACTCCATGAGGTCCATAAAGACAGTTGTGACATTAAAAGTAATGCCTCAACCGATGATGGCAACAATAGCCATGTGATTGTTTTGGCTACTCAATCTCAGAATGAAGCATCAATGAAGGAACAACACTTTACATATGTCATCCAAGATTTAGATCATGGAGCTCAAGGATCCACAGATATCATTTATTGTCAAAAGGATAGAGAAAGACAATCGACAATATTAAGCAAATGTTGACACCGATAAGAGCTCGGCGTATTCATACCCTTCGTATCATCAAGGATCCTACACCACTAGAGGTACAGTGACAATGGATATTTTTTCGAGTCTAATCATTTTTACAATATAGAGTAAATGGTTAGTGGCGATGATTGAACTCCCAATGCACTCCAACCTCCACAATCCTATGTGCCATAGTCATGATTGCCTTAGAAGGTTCCTCGGACACATGTTGTCAATGATGATGCAATGATTGTTACCACGACGTTGTATCAAATTATCAATAACATAATTTACCAATACAATATGTAGTGTAAACAGTCCCAAAATTGGATTCGACAAACCTACCATATTGATATACAAATTCATAACATCAAGGATCCCGATCCACCGACGGAGGAATCCTATGGTTCATTTTAAGTAGAGGCAAGTATAGGTATATATAAACATTATCTCAAATTCTCGATAGTTTATTTTGTTAAAATCCTAAAGTGTCAACACTTAATCCAACATCTCAACTTGTATCTTTGTATCTTGGTAGGTGATTCAAGATCAATGGAAGCAACTTCCTTCAATGAAAGATCATACAATAAAGTTGCTCCTCGAAGAATCATAAATTAAGTATCTCATCCTCACAACCTAGAATTTCTATTTATTTATGCCTTATACACTTTATTTGAATTCAAATACAATCAAAGTACCATTATATTAGCACAAAAATCACTAAAATAGGGGTTTTTTATTTTCAGGTTTTTATTCAGCTTTTTTTGGGACCATGGGGATGTACCAATGTATCGACATTCGGTACATTGGTACCAATACATACTGATCTGCCTAGGGACTGATACCAACGGTCAATCTTGTACGATGGTCCTTGAACAGAACCAATATAACTGTTTCATAATCTCGACATAGAAAGAAAACTAAACAGCCATCACGTTGTTATCGAAAACTGACTGATGCTCTATAAGAACCATTAAACCATTCAATAGGAGATGGAATTAGCATTTCTCCCAATTGCATGCCTTACCTCTTCAATGGAAGAGGTGACAGAACAATCCCTGGATCACAAAATTTGAATTTGTGTCGAAAAAGAGAACTTGAACCATGAAATGAAAATAACTTCTACAATGCATCAAAATTCATCAGAAATTCAGGTCACCATTTGTAGTTTAAATTGATATGTAATGCATGACTCTAATATTGCATAAGAATTATGGCACAGTACGTGTGATCTTGATGATTGATGCATTCTTAGAACATATTTCTTTTCACACTTCCGAGTGTAAGTGAACAAAATTTTTATGCATCTTCTAATATTTCTTCCAGAGTCCTATTCTACATTAATTGGTTACTTTCAAATATTTTCTTAAACATTTGGTTCAATTGATTAACCCACTGTTTTTGGCAAGATTGAGCTGGCTGAAATCGAGCTCAACTACAATGACATCGAAACCACTTTTATCCAGCTTACTAAATTGACGAAGCATCTCCATATATGTTTGTTCAAAAAATTTAACCAAAATAATATTTGAAATATCAACCAACATACATTGGACAGCCATTGTCAAATACATAGAAATGCACAACTTCTTTGGTCAACTATTTATTTGTGAAAATATATAAGAGACATTTCTATTTTTCTGCAAGCAAATAAGCAAAACTATTAATAAGCATATTATCTCCGATGAAAGCTGCAAATTAAGATAATAGCTGTGAAATAAAATCACAAAGCATCAAGATGTGTGCCAATCAGAGTTGTTACCCTCTGTTCTCTACAAGATATGGCATACAGTGTTTCAAAACGGAAAGAATGATCAAGAAGTACATCAACAGCATGATAGCTTACAACCCAAAGAACAGACGTTCAAAATTCACACACCTCGAGAGGTTCTACCGGTGGTAGCCCATGGTTTTTTCTTCGAGCATTGAATGCCATGAGGAGAAAGTCAAAGTTGCTTACACCTGGTATCTCCACAGGGGTCTGAAAACTCATGAAAAGCCCAACATGGGATCTTTCTTCTGGTTCCATTTCAAGCAAGTTCTGGTCTTTGAAAAGCACACTACCTCCAGTTACATCATAATCTTGATGGCCAACGAGAACCTGCAATAAGCAAACCATTACCATGAAAAGTACAAGGCAACATAAAGATCACAGCTAGCCAATCTGCTCATGTACTGTAGAATCATTTCTATGTCCTAAGTATAGCCAATCTGCTTGACATAAGTGTAGAATCATTTCTCATGCAGCGGACTTAACAAAGCAAATTCAAGGAGCACTTATTCCCCAAAGAAAAAAGTGGGGCACAATGATTTTTATTAATAAAATGTCTTGTTTTCTATGTCCTGAATATAGGAGAATAGTAAAAAAAACAAAACCAAGCAATCAAAGTCAATAGTCATTGCTTACTGTATTTTGCAGTTATGGAAAATAAACTAGTGCTCACAGCACAAACTAACATCCAGCTTAATTTAGAAGAGTTTTTACATTAACTGCTACATCGATCCTCAACAAGGGTTTGCAATACCGTACCGTACCACCCGGGATGGGTGGTATATACCGGTCCACCAGCAGACCGACACGTGGACCGCTCGCTATTGGGCGATATCAGCCATCTGGCCCCGTATCAGGCGATACATGGCCATACTGGGCGGTAGCGATCGAAATTTCGACCGTTATCGAATGGTAACAGTCATCCAACGGTCAATTTGACCATTTGAGGCCTCCTCGAGAGTTTTTAAACCCTTTCCTCTCCCCTATTTCAATCTATTTCACTCCCATACTCTCTTAAACTTTTTCATTTTTTCTCACATTCTATCTCTTATTCTAATATTTTCTCTCTCTTAAACTCAACAATGTAATGATTTGTGAATTGAATCAAATTTAGGAGGCTAATTTGGGAGGATTAAGAGGAAGAACGATTCAAAATGAATCGAAATTGTGAATCTTGCACAAGGCTATTCCTCAATGCCCGAAAAAGATATATAATACTATTCTTACCTAATTTACATTAGTTTTGTTAAAACTATACTAAATGTATATTTATTTCTAACTTAAAAACTCTATCCTAACATTTTTTTCTATTTTTCAGATATTTTCAAAGGGTTTTATGCCTCTTTCAGGTGTACCACTCGGTACGCCCTGACGTACCACTCGATACACTATTGTACCATACCATATCGAGCAAAGCTCGGTACACTAGTATAGTACGAGATTAAGAACCTTGTCCTCAACATAACTTACATCAACTCATGTTACTGCTTTTGAAGATTTTGACACTTGTTTAATCCTTATCACTAGCTACAGATAAAACAACAACAATAACAGCAACAAGATGTAAATAGTACAAGTTTGATTGATCTATTTACCTAGATAAGCTCAAAGTTCCGTGTCTAGGAATCCAAAATTTTAGTATGAAAAGAATCCTACTCTACTTCAGAATGACCTCATTAAACAATACATTGGCTAAATCAAGATATTTCTATATGATATAAACAATTTATACGAGAACAACAACAAAAGTTGAGAGAGACATCAGGGTCACCTTTGAAAACGTGCTCTTTCCGGATCCATTCTTCCCCATAATCGCGTGAACCTGACTAGAAATTCCTTCAGTCAATAAACTAAAACCCAAACAAGAAGACAAATCGGACGATGACGAGGTAGAAACGGAGAACGACCAACCTCGCCCCCGTGGATGGTTAGATTGACACCCCGCAAGATCTCCTGCCCGGACTCCTTGATGACGGCCTTCAAATCCTTCACCTCCAGTAGGACCCTCGGGGGACCGTTCCTGGAGGAGGCATCACCCGTAGCCGGGGAGTCGACGGTAAGCGTCGCCTTCGCCCGCGTAGGGGCGTGAGGGCGGGGAAGGCGGGACCGGAACCGCCAGGGATTGAGAGGTCCCGAGACATGAGTTCGGAAGGGCGTCGCGGGAAAGCGTCGAGATGAGAGGGAACTAGGCGAAGACGAGGAGGAGAAGGGAATGGTGGAGGAATAGGTGAGAAGAGCCATGGCGGAAGGAAACTTCCAATTTGGGTTCGCCTTCGGTGGTAACGCTCTTATTCTTTGAGACTATGTTATCGCCTTCGGTGGTAGACCTTTTCATCTTTTAATATATTATTATTATTATTATTATTATAGTAATAGTTATTGTTAAAAGATAGACTGTTTAGGTTTGAGAAATAAATACATAATTCAAAAATATTTTATTATATTATATAGATGAGTTGTTTTATTTGATTTTTATGCTAATTTAATAACTTTAACTCTAGAAAATTTGGCCGGTTAATCAAAAGAGCACTAATTTAATTTTGCTTGACCTTAGACCAAATGTAACTCTTGATTTAGAATATTAATTACTATATTTGAAGCACATATTAGTACAAACTTGATTTTGTAGCATTGTTATGGTTTACTTTAGTACTTTTTTTTCAATAAATGATAATTTTAAAATATTAAATTTACATTGTTATTGAATTTAGAGTATTACTTAGAAGTTTCATTATTGATAAAGTTCAAATAAATTAAAATAGAATTTCTTCTAAAAGACTAAACAGTTGATCAATAAATTGTAAATCGTAAAAATTGTTTATTAATTGATTAAGAAATTAAATTTAATCTAAAAAATACAGTTATTAAATATTCATCCAAATATTCTACCCACTCGACATATCTATTGGGCTTCTACTTCAATGGCTCCTCCTTTCCTTCTCCAGATCATGAAAAATGAACAGTTTCTACTTCCTTTCCTCCAGATCATGAAAAATGAACAGCTACTACTTCCTTTCCTTCTCCAGATCATGAAAAATGAACAGCTTCTACTTCCTTTCCTTCTCCAGATCATGAAAAATGAACAGCTTCTACTTCCTTTCCTTCTCCATATTATGAAAAATGAATAGCTT